CCCACAATTTAATAAGTTTAAAATTCTGTGTGAATTTCTGAGGCAATGAGTTATCATTATTTACATGATTTACTTTAGGTCTATTACAGTAAGGTTTAATTTTGTTATCACACCATTTCGGCCTGGGTACTATTCGACCTTCATTAGGTACTTGTCTGATGGGGTAAGCTTCAGTAAATTTCGAGCTGAACCCTTTATTTAATCTACTGGGTAGATTGTTCTCATTCTGCTGTCTTTGTCTCAGGATATCTCATCTTTTTTCTTATTTAGTACTTCTCTTTTCTTTTTCTTTTTTTTTTTAATCAATTCATCCCGTGTGTTATGGTCCGGTTCCTTGTACCACGGTAATAGTCCAAGGTAGAACCAATAAAGAAGAACTCGAACACAGGTATGGAATAACACAGACATATTACAAACAGGAATATGTACAGAGAAGTAGAAGTGTTAGTATGAACAATCAGGTTTAGTAGAGAGAACAATGTAGTCTCGACCAGTATCACTATTCCAATGTCTTGTAGTAATTGTCTGAACGAGACTCTGTTTCGGACTGCCTCTGACTCGACTCTTGACTCGACTTGAACTACTGACTCTACTGACTCAACTACTGACTCGCGATATTGAGTCCCCCCCCCACTGGGGCAACATGTGACACAAGGTCGGTTGTTTATTGTGGGTTTCCCGAGCCCGTGAGCTCGGCCCAAAAATATGCCCGTTTGAACCCGTATAAACGGGTTCAGGTCCGGTTTTACCTCTCCGAAGGAGACTCCGCCCTTCGGCGTAGTCTCCTTCGGGTTCCTCTCCGTCCGGAGACAGAGAGTTGAACCGATCAGTCGCTCAGAAAGTGAACTACTGATTCACTCCTTGGCTACTCCTGAGGCGCAGTATTTATTAAGTATGGAATAACCCATTATTATTATTATTATGGGTAAGATCCCATAACACCGTGCAAGGCGATAATGTCACTAAGACACAAGGGACTACTGGGAGAGAAAGAGAAGATTTTAGAAGAAACCTGAAACCTAGTGCTAACAGGAAACAAGGGATAC